TGGAAGCTCCAGCAAACTACCTGGACCTTCAAGGGGTGTCCAATGGAGGTCCCTTAGTAGTGTAGGGGCTTCCATTGGTGACCCCTTTGAAGGTGCTGGTACTATTAGTTTGGAAACCACCAAAGGTGTCAGTGGTGGATGAACAATGTCGATTGAGAGGCCCTATGCCATCATAGCCTTGGGCTTTACATGGTTTTTATACTAAGTACTTCAATCGATGATGGGTTTTGTTTCCATCCCTGGATTTCGACACTTTGGTACTGTAACGGATCTTGGGAAAAATTGCCTCAGGCAGTTGAACCGCCGGCTCACCTGAACCACCAAGAGTCGTTCAGCAGTTGTTTGCCCCGGCAGTTGTAGAAGCATTTTTGTCACTCCAGTCACACCTTCACTTCCCCGGAAGGAATCGATACGCGAGAAGCGGGTCTTGCGAGTCAAAGGTGATATGGACACTGGATACAGCTGAGCACCAGATGCAAGACAATTGAAACAGGTCCTATAGAAGTCCTGAGCCTCGGAATCAAGCCATCAGTGCTTCACTTCCGGACAGACATGTTCGAGCCACTGAAACCTCACCCAGCCAACAGCTCCAAAGACTCCAAACCCACACTTTCCCTCCGATCTGGTCAATTTTCACTCCTGTCACCCCGACCCGGACCTCCCCATACCGCCCCCCACAAAAAGGACGGTATGGATTGGCATGGTCCGACAGAAAAGTGGATGGCTTTAGCCTTTCAGCTGTTTAGATGTGCGGACAAAGCTGCACCGGCTTTCCGGGCCAACGGCTCGGGTGCCCAAACGGGTCGTCCGTCTTCGTCCTTCTTCGTCCCCCCCCCAACGGGGCGCCAAACCCGCCAAACCCGCCCACCCCCGGTCACCTGGCTCCGTCAGATGACCACCACCATCATCGGCTCGGAGTGCTGGCTTCATCAGGTTCATCTCGGAGGACTTGGGCCGAAGGCCCGGAGACATGGGTCGGGGGCTTTTGGAGCTGCCCGGTGAAGGGGAACTCATATGGCTGCCCCCCAAGACCATACAGCTTGACCTTCCAGGCAGGGCATGTATCCTGGTTTTGACCCAAAGCCACGTGGTTGGGTCGGCATAGAGATACCAACGCCTTTGGGGTTGGAAGGAAAGTGGATCTGACATCTTGCAAAGGACCAAGGCTAGTAACTACTAGTAGTGCTAGCTCAAAAAAAACAAATATATATATTATATATAGTAGTATTTATAGTCTTAGTATATTATAATATATATATAGTTATACATGTGCATTGCTAAAGTTATTTTTCCGCGCATCCATCTAACCTTGAAAGATCCAGGACCATAGACTGAGCATCTCAGTTGGCAGGTCCACCAGGTGAAGCGGTTTGAAGCAGACCAAACATCAATCGGTCGATATGGGTCGGTGGCTCTAGCTCGCCAGGCCTTGAGCTAGAGCAGATCATTAATTCAATCTATCAATCTGTCAAGCAGCTCTTTTGTGTTCATGGTTTGCCGGCTAGCACTGGCAAGTGGATGGGAGTGCAGCTGGCTAAAAATGTGTTTTTTTTCAGCTGTCCCGAAGCAAGTGAATGTGGCTTTTGGCTTTCGGCGATGTTTCTGTTTTCGCCTTTGGATGCCCTGGAATTCCGACAGTCTCGATATCCCAGACGGGACCGGAAATTGGACCTGTGTACCTACCTTGAGCCCGGGGTTATAACTAAGGTTTAATTAAATTTATGTGTTTTTTTTTAAATATGATCCCCATGGGAATGTCCCCCCTAGAATTGGGGACCTTGGGTGCCCAAAATCAGATTGATGTTAAAGAGATCTATTGTTTGGTACACTTTTTGTCTATGAAATCCATCCCAACAATATCCCACAATGATCATTATGTGTTTGATATTTTTTGAGTATTTTTTAGTAGTCTTTAGAGAACTTCACAAAATGTTGATAGATAGCAGTGATAGCAGTCTTGATTTCATAGAGACAGTAAAGTCGATGAAATATGAGTAGTGTGGGCCCGTGCCCTGATTTTAGAGAGAAAAAGCACTCAATTTTATAGGGAAGCCATTCTGAACCTCTTATCCTGATTCTATAAGGGATGAAGATGATGCAAAAATTAGTCAAACACGGGAGAGTTAATTCTATGACATGAACAGATGCAAAAAAAACAAGCAAAAAAGCAATTATATATATATATAGATGTTGTTAAAACCTGTTGTACAATTATATTGTTATGCTACCAGTTTTCTATATATTAGATCAAGATCTTTGGAATGTCCGATATTGCTACACACGACTATTTACGTATGTCATTCCGATTTCTATGTTTATAAATCACACATATCATTAAATGTCAGTTGTCACCACAAGGGTAGGTGCCCACATAGTATAAGGTGTCCATTGTGTTTCACGGCTGGTTTTGTTATTTTATAGGGAGTTTTGTTACACCCTCGGCGTTCGATCCTCATAAAATTGCGAACCCCAGGCCAGGCTGGAATTCACCAGGAGATATTATATTATATGAATCAATATGTGCTAGTTGCTAGTCACATGGAGTGTTTGGGTGTGCATTTTTTGGGGGATGTGCTGGCGATCCTTAGCAAACATGGAAGTAGAAGATTGCAAGATTGCCCAGCCTGAAAGATTACACGGGGTGGTTTACTTCCGTGCGTTATTGTAGGGAGGTTGATGAATGGTTGTGCAGTCTCTTTCTTTGTGCTGCATCCTTCTCCAAACTGGATGGAGGCTTCAGGGTCGACCCCTGCGCCGCACGCAATTCAAGTCGGACCCCTACGAAGCCCCGGATGTTTGCAGCCCTTTCAGCGCTCTGAAAGCCCAGAAAGGTCCACTTCAGGAGGTTCTCAACACGTCAGGCATTCCCGAGCACCCTACTATTCCACTAAGCTATATCATCAGATCAATTGGATCTAATCAAATCTATGTACTACTTGATCTACCATCCCATATATCTTGCCTTTTTCAATGGGGTGGACTGACCCACCGAGCCTCCGGACCGCCTCCACTCCGGCCTCCTCCTCCAGGCACGAAGGCCCGAGCCATGGCCCCTTGGAGCGAATCCCTCCCCCTGCGGGCCGTGGCGGTGTTCGGCACCTCCAGAGGTAGCGGTGTGACCGGTGACCTGAGTTGTCTACCCGGTTAGGTTGTGACCGGTTGCGTCTACCCGGTTCAGTGGAACAGCGGCACCGGGGTTTTCGAATTGGGAGACGTCCACCGGGTGCACCGGCCTGGCCCCAACGGGTGCAACGGAAGCCGCCAGCCTTTGGCGAGTGGTCACTCCCAGTGAAAAAAGGTCTCACTAGTGGTCTCACTTTATATAGCTCACTAAGATTCACTAGGCTTTTGCTGAGGACTTGATAGGTTTAGCATGTTTGTTGTGCTTTCATGAGTTGTTTAACCTTTATTTGGGATGATTGATCCCACTGGCTTGAGATGATTGATCCCACTGGCTCATTGTTCAGTTTAAGCCACCAAACAGATTGGGATTCTTTGGTCTTGGTGGCCCAAATCCCTCCCCCCTGTGACGGGTGGTGGGAGCCCAACAAAAATGGATGAGCGTGGTGGGTTCTTTTGGCTTGGGACATTTGCGGACCCTAGATTATCTATAATTGATTTATTTATGTGTTTAATAGTTAATAAGTAGAGAGAGATTCATTATACATATAGATATGTTCTCTGTTCAAAGCAGATCTTATTTGATAGCGCTTGGTTGCTCGGCACCCGAGACCATTGGTCGCCACCCGAGACCATCGGCGGTGTGTTTGTCGCCGAGGACTGGGATGATCGGTAATGCCGTTATACATGCGGCTTGGCCGACCGACCCCCTGGGCCTGTGGGCGTTTCTCTTTTCAGGGTCCAGCCTCCAAAATCTGCAGTTTGGAAGGGTTTGGACGGGTTTGGAAGGCTGCCTTTGGGAGCCAAAACATGTTTTTGGGCCTGAAATCAGAGTCCTGAGACTGTGAGTCTCACTGGTCCTGCCCCAAAAAACGGGTTTCAAAGACTGGCGCCGACTGGCTATTGTATTCTTCAAGCTGTGCCCTTCTCACAGCTCTTGGTCCAAGACTCTTGATGCATTTGTCTCGGACATCCCAAAAACTAGCTTTATTTGGCTAGCTGGTGCTCGGTGTGAGCTAAGGGTCCGGGAATATCCATATTCCCCATTAAGCAGGGAGTTCTCCAACCGATTTGCGAGTTGGCAAAGCCCTGTCAAAACACATAGTCTAGGGATTTAACTGGCTCTAGGCGGCTCAGATTGGATATTGACCCTGGAACTGATAACATGTCAATGTGACAAGCTAGGTAGAGCACCCAGGTCCCCATCGGAAAAGATTAGCATTTAGACTTCAGGACTAAGTTGTATAAGCACCACATGTAAAGCTGGAGCAGGAGATTTGCTGCAGAAAGCACCTTGAGAAGACTTGCACTGCCATCCCTACAAGGGTATTTGGGGGGGCATCCCTTGGACGTCCAAGACTTAATGATCTTCAATGAGGAGGAATCAATCGCTCCGAACAAAACCGACCGGGCCTCTGGCCTCTTTCGCCCCTGAACTACGCAGCACCTGCAATGGCAGGGGCGCTGATCCGATGTTTGGGGTGTTCCAGCGCCCTATCCGATGGGCTGCAGAACCATTAAGCAAAGAGTCTACATGACCCAGTCAGTGTTTGATTGGCCCTCGACTCCCTCCGTGTGGAGTCGAAAGGCGGGCCCGGGCCCGCCTGTGATGCAAAAGGAGTACTCGTACCTTAGGCACCAGAAGGAACCCGAGAATTGAGCATTTCTTGCAAAACCCTCTTAGATGTGCGGAATGGTGTCCTTTTCAGAGAAGCACTGCTTTTCAGAGAAGACCATGCAGTTCGAGCTTCAACATCAAGAAAAGATAATTGATATATTCAAAACCTATATCAATGCCCATGCCGCATGCCTCTAGAATTTCGAAAAACCCGGAAGACAAGACCCTCGCGGAGTCCATTTGCGCTGCGACTGACGTGAACATGGCTCGGGCTACCAAGGATTCCAGTGAGCGCCGGGTAAAGCTCGAGAATGTGCTCAAACGGGCTGCCTCTGGACAGACCCTGAGCGACAAGACGCCTGCCAACAGCAGGCGGCTTCCGGTGGTTTTGGTATGAAGATGTATACAGAGCCCAGCCGACTGGCATGATGGGAAGGTTATATATATATATAGAGAGAGAGAGAGACGAGATTGAGAGAGGGAGTCAGGCATGCAGGGAGAGTTTTCGTGACATTGACCAACCATTTACGAAGCAGTTTTAGGTTACGTTGGAGGTGGTAGTTTGACTTGAGTTTCTCTCAATCACGCATGTTTTGCCCTTTTGCATCATTTTGCATCAACAAAGCGACGCCTCGTGGGTTTGGTGTGATGAAGCTTTGCCGGTGGCAAAGTGAGGTGATCTTCCGCTGGAGACCTGACTCGACTCAGCACGTGTTTTCGCATCGTCAAGACCGGGACCTGGGAGGACAGGACCGATTCCGTTTGATGGACCGGAGCTCTGCACGATCGGACTGGCCAGGTACGGTAGCTTTGGGCAGTTGCAGAAGAGCCCTGAAGGACTCCAGCTGATCCTGACCAAGTCAGGCGCGTTGTGGGATGGAGCTTCTTTTTTTGCGCGTTGGAGCGTACAACGGCATGTTGGCTGCCAAGAGTTCCAACATGCCCTTGCAGAAGCACCTGTTCAAGAGTATTTGTATATATTTGTATATATGTTTATTTGCTAAGAGACTCAACTCTTGAAATCATTTGAAACCTGGGAGGCTCGGAGGTCAATGTTCCAGACTCCCTGCTGTTGTCAGGCATTGCCTGGGTGTCGGAAGATGGTAGAGAACACGAGATCATCCCTTTACTCCTAGCCGATGTGGTTTATGCCGAAGTCGGGAGCCTCAGGCTGAATTCCAAACTCCCCACATTTGTTCAGATGTGTTCTTTCTTCGTTCCACTCATACTACAAATTCAACGGGGAACGCCCAACCTCGGCCGTGCCGCCTGAGGTTGCACAAAAATTTAGTTTCACCACGCCGGACGCGACACACTTGATTGCCATCGCCCCGCGGATTCAAAGCCTAGCAGCAGCTCCTTGGCGCAGCCTGAAGCCTGAAGCCTGGTGTGTGTGTGTGTGTGTGTCTGTGGGCGGGTGGGCGAGTGTGTGGGTGGTTTCGGGTTGCGCGCACCTGCGAATCAACAGTTGGAAATGCGATAGAAGCTGTTTCAAGCTTTTCAATGCACCTTGGGGTTGCTTGGCTTCTTTGATTTTCTTTGCAGATTTCCATGGAACGAGTCGCAACCGTTGCCGGTCACTAGCTCCACGCTCGATGGCCGAGATGCTTGACGGCCGTGAGGTCTGGCTGCTTTGCACCAATGCAGGGACAGGTGACTTCAGCTTGGATCACCTGATGATTAGCTTTAGCAGGCCAGGGACGACGGACCTGAGGACATGGCAGAACAGTTCTGAAGACCAGGCAGGTCTTTTCCTCATCCTCATGCTATTTTCTTTCTATCAGAGTCGGTGCCATGGAAAGGAGTTCTTGGTGTTCATTTTTGTTGGAGCTTGAAAGGTCACGGCACTCAAGAGAAACACAGACACAGGATTCACAAGATGTTTGCATGCTTCTTTTTATCATGTTATGTTATGTATGTATGCATATATATATATGCATGTTCATTATGTTTGTTCAATAACTCTTGTCAGTCAAGTCTATTCAGTTTTGTGCGTGTGTGGGCTCAATTGGTCAATCAAGAATATAATCGAAGTGTGACCGTTACCAGACAGGCATATATGAATATATGTATGTCTCTCTCTCGCTATATATATATACTAGCACAGCTACAGATAGAATATGGACTAATTCCCAAAAGCTAATTAGTCACGTATTCTATGTGCTCCCAGCCACTTTGCCTGTTCATGCAGCAGATAGAATATGCGTTAGAAAATTAATAAGGAAGTAACAGATAGAATTTTATATATATATATGATATTTTATGATGTTTGACAAACTAACCAGTTAACAGTCAAGAATAGGTTTTCCTTTGTGGAGTCATCCCTGTATCACTTTGCAAGTGGTTTGGGTGAGATAGTTGGAGTATCAGCTTGTGAAGAGTTTCACTTTCTACATATTCACATTTCTTCACACACTTCGAATATGGAACCACTTTTGGCTTTTGAGCAAAATGTCAGTCATGTACAAAAACACTTTCAAACATATATAGGTTGAAACATATGGCATCTGGTTTGATGACAATAGCTGCTAGTGGTGCACATAGAATATGCACGCATATTGCTGGACTAATGGATGCATTCACATTTGTTTTCAGGGGGTGAGGAAACATGTTCAAACATATATAAGTTGAAACACCTGGCATCTGGTTTGATGACAATAGCTGCTAGTGGTGCACATAGAATATGCACGCTTATTGCTGGACTAACGGATACATTCACATCTGTTTTCAGGGGGTGAGGAGTTGCGTTTTCTGCAGCCATGTCGGGGGTGAGCGAGAACATGTCCAAAGCAGCGCACCATGAGCTGCAGAATGACATGTGGGCTTACATCAGGGCTGCAGCTGAGCGTACTCCTCAAGACATTGCACGCGAGCGTGTCACACGTGAACAAGGCTCAGATCCGCCTTTGCCACCACCTCCAGAGGAACCTCCCCTTGAGGATGAGGATGAGGACGATGGAGCTGGTGATCAGCTGGTGGATGAAGAGGCTGGGGAAGGTGCAAAAGGTGCAGATAGAATATGTCAGCACTGCTGGGTAAATATCCACTCAAGTATATCACATGTTCTGTTTGTTTATAAATATGTATATATGTTTTACCTGAGTTGCCAAAAGGTCTGATTGGATACTATTTGGGAAAACCATACCACAAAGAACTATATATATATATATCTATACATTAGCATGGGCAGGAATTGAAAGTCGACAGCAAGTACATGACTGAGTTCCAGAAGCACATCCGTGTGGATATGCCGCATCTGGAGTGCAGGAGGAACTTCTATGTCAGCTTGTATGGATCCAAGAAGTTGAGTATCCTAGCAGCTGTTGAGTTTGAACGCTATGCCAAGTCAGTGGTGTTGGACTTTGACATGATGAACCGGCAACCTAAGCAAAGAAAGGATTTGCTCAATGCACATAGTGTGGGTCCCGAGTATTCAAAGAAGGCAATTCGGATTCAGCGTGTAGCATTGGGCAGAGCATTGTCTGATGGTGAGTCGACATTGATGGAGCAAGAAATTGTTGACCATGTGTGGAAGAAAATTCACAAAGAAGATGTTTTGAGCAAGACATCAGTTCAACATTCAAAACCCTTGGCAAAGTTTGTGGTTGACTTCACTGGTTCCAACCAGAAGCTGCAGCAAACCTGCAAGACGCTGCAGTTTGCAGCAGATTGGGCTGTGGGCATGGAACGTGAAGAGAAGGACCACGGGTGGAGGAAAGGGCAGGGAAGATGACAATGTGTTCAGGGGAGTGAGATGGGAGGCTGGGTTTCTGTTGAATTGCCTTTTCAAAACCAATCATTCTGATGCAGATAGAATATGTTTGCAGAGAGAGAGAGAGGGAGGGATCGAGGGAGGGAGGGAGGGAGGGTTGAAGGCCAGCATGTTCAGGGGAGTGCAGATAGAAAACTTTTTTGCATAGCACTGCTAGCTGTTTGGAAACCATGGGTGTATATCAATATATATATATATATGTATGTGTAGTTGTTGCTCGAGCCCAGATGCCTTCAGCACCAGCTCCTGTCCTTAGATTTTGTGAATGAACTGTTTAGTGCTGTTTGGACTATGCAGTCAGCGCCATGGCGGGCTACTGTCGTTTCAGAAGGCTTAGACGAGATTCAATCTGCTTGTTTGCAGAGACTGCTGCTTGAAGCTGGTTGGCAGAAGGGCAGCAGCCCTGCAAACCCTGCAGACGACAAGACTGAGTTGGATAGAATGATTGACAGTGGTCAGCCCTTGGGGTGCGATTCATCTGTGCAGTCTACACCATTGCCTCCTACGACATCAGAGTTGCTGTGGAGTGGAGACCTAGACGGTACGCTTGAAGCCTGCATCAACGATCAAGGTTGTCAAAGTCAACAGCCTGTGCAGGGCACGACACTTGCATCATCCAGCAACCTGGCTGCTTCAGACCAAACAGTTCCAGATACTGGAATTTCTGGGGCATCAGAAGCTACAGGTTCTCAACCAACTGCGGCATCACGACCCAACAAGAGGAATTGGAACAAATGGGAACCAGATCCCAATGATCACAATCAATTGGATCTACGTCGGCAGAAGGATATGAAGAACTTGCGAGAGATGCGCCGCAAGCTGGCCCGCGGTCTTCATACATAAGTTGTGGATGGCTGTGAATAGTTGCAACACTTGGAAAAGGTGTGCCACAGTTGGGGTCTGGTGCAGATAGAATATGTCCACATGCCAGCATTGCTGGCACTAAATGCATATTGGAATTCAAATATATATATATATATATGTGATTTTGGTATGTGAAAGTGCATCAAAGGGATCATCAAGCACATGTCTTGTTGCAATATGTTCCAAATTTGCAGCTTGAAATAATAATCAAGGTAGTAGCAGTTTGAACTGGGCGCTATGGACGTGCAAGATGTTCTCTTTTTGCTCATGTGGCTACTGCCTGGGTTGGTGCTTGGTGTCATTGGAACTATCCTGGTCCAACGATTGTTGAGCATGCGTGCTGTGGCTGAATCAGTGAAGACATATGCGCAAACCAAGGGGAAGGCAAAGGATGATATTGATGATTTTAGCACCATTTTACCATTGGAGCTGTATTTGTCCACGAGCGGGCGAGTACACAAAATAACTCACTGCAGCAACATGAAAAGCTGGCAAACAGTGAGGTTGTGTCGCAAGTGTTTCAAGCTTGCGTAGGCTTTACAGTATGTGCTTTCGTTGCACGAGTGCAGCAATTTGCAGATATGTATATAGCGTAGTTCTTGCACTGCAGCAGCATGAATCAAAAAGAAGTGTATATATATATGTAGATGCAGCAGGGCAGGGTTCATGTGTTGTATATACACGAAAAAAAACTAAGCAAGGCTACACCATGGACTTCCATCCTCTGTTGACCCAGTTGAGACCAGCCACTGCGGATCCCTTTTTGGTCACCTTCTGCGGTTCCACTAATTGGTGTGTGGCTCATCCAATGGCATGCTCACCAGTCTCAATGTCACGAGTGGCCTCCTCCAAGCTTCCAATGCCCACCAAGCAAGTTGGTGCAGATAGAATATAGGCACCAGCCATCATTGATGGTTGAAGCCATATGTCTTATTCATTCTAATTCTACCATTATATATATATAGGTTTGTATGTCATGTCTGTTCTTCTTCTGTTCGCACCTGGCAGGACGGCGATCTCGCAAAGTCGATCAAGGCCACAGCTGTGAAGGGCAAGGGGGTTGCTGTGCGGGATGATGCAGTAAAAGCATTGACTGAGAACCAGGTCGTGAATCTCCAGGAAGTTGCAGAACAACTGGCAGACACCCATCAAGTTGCCGAGGTCTCCAAATCAGAGGACATTACTCAATCCTTCATCGAAACAGTGAAGTTCATTGGTCCTGACTGCTTGGCTTCCAATTTTCTTGTTTACAGGGGATTGGTCCAACAGCTGTCGGGACGAGTATTGGATCCAAACGCATACACTCTTGGCATCATTGCCGGTAAGAATGACATGGCGATAGAAGTATGTCTGGGAGGTGATGTTGCTTCGATGGTCTCAAACAATGAGCTGAAAGAGAGGTAGATCTGCTTGGAGTATGACATCATGGGTCTGGTTGTGTGGGATCATGAGGCTATGGCGTCCAAATATAAGGAAGAAATGGCAAAGCTACTATCGCTGGCAGACAAGCCATATCTTCTGATGATTTACCAGTCAGCAGGCGATGTTGCCTGTTGGGAGTTCAACAGGGAAGGTGATCCTGGTGAATTCGTAATGGTTGACATCAACAGCAGAAACAAAAATAGACGCAAAGATGTGGACTACAAGCAATGCTGAGCTGATTGGACCAGAATTCCCAAAAGATGCAATTCATGGCGTGCAGCGTGATATTCCTGACGTTCATGTCTATTATCAGTGGCTGCTCAATGTGGAGTCAGGTGTGAAGTACAGTCACTATGATTTGCTGTTGCCGGCCAACTCTGATTCTGCAGGAGACCGTGTCATTGAGTTGCCCAAGGTGGTCCCTTTCCATGATGGAAAAGAGCAGGTGAAGTCTACCAGTATCAATCCTTTCTTTGATCCTGCAACATATAGAAATCGAACCTTTCAGTTTCCAGAGCTGAAAGAAAAGCTAGTGCCAAGCGAGGATCCAGACTCATTCATGCAGCCGATGATTGGTAGTGCAATGCAAGGTTTCTTTGATCTTACCCAGTACGATGGCAAGAACTACAAGTTCC